AAAATTACAGAGTGGTGTTGTGAATAAAATCACGTATTAGATGTAATTCTTAAAATGTGGTTGACACATTCGTTCATAGTGGTGTAATGAATAAAATTAGATATTTTAGATTGTTCTGTAAAATACAGCTAACACAAATGTCTGTGGAATTATAACGCTAAAAACCGGGTTTAGATACCCGTGGTGGGAACAGCACAGTAGCCCATTTTGTAGCTCTGTGCTTAACTATAAACAAACAAACAAATCCACAAATGACATTAATAATCTTCACTATATCGCTGGACTTTTTTAATAAGAACCAGTCAACAATGCACTAAACTGGTCTTTCCCCAATTTATACTGATGTGATTTTCTTAACCAATCATCTGTGTGCACCTTATTACTTTTATTGTTAAAAGTTTCTGCTAAGCCTAACGTTTCAAGAATATTTTTGTTCATAGCTTTTGTCGAGTTTAACGATCTTAGAACGTTATAAGAATTGTATTGTTGAAAGTTTCTGTTGATGTTGCTTTTGGAACAATATAGCTTGAGTTATTTTGAGATGTAACAAACTCTGTAAGCCTTAATCATATGTTCATCCAGTTTTTTAGTTGCTTAAAGAAATATAAATACCAACATCTGTATGTATGTGCCTAACCAAGCTTCACTCATGAAATATTTAAAACAAATAAGTAAATATCAGTTTATTACGTTAGGCCCATACGTACACATATTACTTCATAATAGGATATTTTTCATTAACTCGTCTCTGGTCTACTTCATAATGGAAAAATTTTGAGAACGTGAGGGCTTCAATTTAGATTTTAGCTAAAACAGAACATAAAATCACCAAATCTCACGCGATAGCAAAGATGTATGTCTGAAGACCAGCCGAGAAGAACAATTTCGATCACATTATAGTCAGTTCGTTTATTTGTAGTTAAGCACAAAGCTGCACAATGGGCTAGCTGTGCTTTGCCCACGACAGGTATCGAAACCAGGTTTCTAGTGTTGCAAGTCGACAAACATTCCTCTGTACCACTGGGGGGGGGGGCTATAATAAGTTCATCTTTACCTATAACGTGTGATTTCACTGCGGAACTGAATATGGTCTGAGGAGTGAAAAAAAACAAACAGACCCAAAAATAAAACAACCTCATAAATTCTTAATTATACACTTTCATTTAATCTCTTTAGTTTTGAAATAGGTTCCTCGAGCACTTATTTGTTACTGATCGAAACTGTATTTCTCATCTGAGCGTATTCAGAGGAGACTTTGTTTCAACTCAATATCGTATGGATACGTTTTTCAGAAGTAGTATCAGTCTTTTGGAGACTAATGCAGTGAATGCAGTCTCTATAATATATCATGGGCTAATCTATTTAACAGGAAAATCCAATAACTATATTAGATTATTTGTTTTTGTTGATGTAGTTTTCTTATTGGTATCACCCTTATGGAGACTATCGTACTGAATGCAGCCTTTTATAATACGTATTGGACTGATCTATTTAGCAGAAAAATCAAATCACTATTTTTTTATTATTTTGTTAATGCAGTTTGTGAGCTTGAATGGTACGTGTTTTTAATTTAATGTTTTATACCTGTTCGAAATTAAATATATATATATACAAATCACAATACTGTCTGCCTGTTGTAAACTAATTTTGAATGGTGTTGAAATATAATGTTTGTTAATTTGTACTTAAGCTAAACACAAGTGTTTGAATCGTTAGATTTTGGCGGTGTTTAGTATTTTTGTATTCTTTGTTCATTAATAAAATTTCCATGTTTTGTTCAGGGATACAACTGAAAGAAAAAAGCGAAAAAGAACAACCAAATGAGAAAAACAAGGCACACTAAAGACAGGAGTAAGCGAAGAAGAAAGAACGTGCAGTTAATCGTAATATTAAAGTACAAAAAATAAAAATAGTACAGAAAACAAGTACTTTCAAAAAGGTGTAGGGAAAACGAAAATGGGGAACAGAGAAAAGACAAGCAAGTAAGAAGAAAATAATATCATATATCAAATCGAAGAGAAAAGTCTAGTAGAGACCAATCTAGCAAAGACAAAGATGAAAAGGAATTGATAGACATAAAGAATAAGAGAATAAGAACAAAACTTAACTATTGATATAAAAAGAAATATAATGAACGAGAAATAAAATTAAATAATTAACTTGTATTAAAAGTTATTTCTCATGCTACATATTAGAACCTCAAAATAAGGAACTTAAATTTTTGAAAATATTATCAGAAGTTAATATGTCATACTTTGATGATCTTAAAGTCACGTGAAGTTTCACTAACAATAAGGATGCACGGAGGCGGAAACCTTTGAATAGCACGAGCTACTCCCGTTGGTTCATTCCTTTCCAGCACCACCTTATGTACAGGCGCCTAAGAGTGTAAGTTACCTGACTGATCTCACCCACTCTCCAAAAAGTCAATATATAAGTGAACTGTACCACTGACCAGCAGAATAGCAGATGAACCTGGAGAGTTTAAAGCCTTAACTGCTGCTGCTCTAGATTTAAAGTACTAATTGTCGAAGATTGAAACAGATCAACGAAAAGGTAAGTACAACTTGTAACTTCATTAAACATAGCATTACATAAAAATAACAAACACGTATAATTTTCAAGGAAAATTATCTACACGTTCAAAAGTTTGGTTGAGGTAAAACGTAGGTTTATAATAGTATTAATAATGTATTAGTTAAAAATACTTTTGAGAAGTGTTTAGAGGTGGTTCGTTTTGAGCCAATGAAAGCTTTCCTCAGGCATATCTAGAGGTCGTCGGTTTCACGTCACTGAAACATATTCTCTGACATGCTGAAATATGGTATGTTTAAGTCACTGAAACCTTCGTTCAGCCTTCTTTAGAGTTAATCATTTTCAAGTCACTGAAAACTTTTCTCTGACATGAGTAGAGGTGGTTCGTTTCAAGTCACTGAAGCCGTTTTTCTGACATGATTAGATAATACGCTTCAAGTGACTGAAAGCTTTTCTTAGTCATGTTTAGATGTAATCCGTTTCAAATCAATGAAGTGTTTTGCTCGGTCATGTTGAGAGGTAGTATTTTCGAGTCACTGAAAGCTTCTTTCAGCCTTTTTTAGGGTTAGTAGATTTCAGAGCTTGTTTGTATATTGTTAAGTACAAAGCTACAGAATGCGCTATCTGTGCAGTACCCACCAAGGGTATCGAAACCCTGTTTTTAGCGTCATAACCTTCAGAGCTGCCACTAAAAAACTGGGGGTTCGGTTTCAAGTCACTTAGAGATTGTCTCAGTTATACTTACAGGTGGTTTGTTTTATATCACGGAGATCCTTTTCTTAAACAAGTTTATAGTACATTTACATTGCATTTCAATGTAACGAGAATGTTTTCTCAAGCTACAACAAGAGTTATATTAAGACCCGCATCGGCTATTATAGTCATCCAATTAAATATTGAGTTACAACATCTAATACCTTTTTCAAAGGTTATTTTAGTGTTATATACATTTCAGATGATTACAATATGCGCTCTCAGCATTGCTGGGATTCTCACTGTGGGACGAGTACGTTTCCTGAAGTCACTCAGAATTCTCTCCCTTCTCTCTATACTCGTGTTGGGCAGAGCTCAGATAGCCCTTTGTGTAGCTTTGTGCTTTATAATAAACAACAATATCAATTATTCTAATCTCCCAAACGAAATATGCTGACTCATCAAAATATCTTGTAAAACTGTAGGTAGGCATATTTATTTTATTAATAGCCGTGGAGGCGTTATACTGTGACGGTCAATCCCACTATTCGTTGGTAAAAGAGTATCCCAAGAGTTGGCGGTGGGTGATGATAACTAGCTGCCTTCCCTCTAGTCTTACACTGCTAAATTAGGGACGGCTAGCGCAGATAGTCCTTGTGTTGATTTGCGCGAAATTCCAACCAAACCAAGCCCTTATAAACATCTAAATATTTTCTTGAAACATTTAATTTAGGGCTGGAGCCCTTTACCGGTGTTTTCAATGTTTTAAATAGGTTCTTTAAAACAAGTTTTGGATAGTATTTACGTCAAAATTAAAATCAATAAATTCGACATTTCTGAAAAAAAATTCTCTTATTAGATATTTTCAAAGTTGTATGCCTTACTGACGTTTTTCTAAAACTGCTATAAGAAGATTAATCTATCAGATATACTTCAAACGTAAATAGAAATCTTCATGTCCTACTGTGCAAGGATAATTTTAGTTAGTTGATACCAACTGGCGTACCAGTTCTATGCACGAGGTTTGACATAAAGGAGGCGCACATCTGAACGCTGACCCGGGTGCCCTTAGGGGATTGCAAAAACAAAGTACGACTCGTACAGAGTTACATAGCGAAATTTGTCACAACTAACGTTTTTAAAACAATCCATCTTCAACACTCCAGTCTTAAAAACTAAACAATCATTGAATATTAAGTCACAAATAAACTAAATAATAACTATTATATTAAACAGTCTTGTATATCCAACAGAAGTACTATGCCTAAGTACTAGGTTTTCAGATCTGTGAACCGTCTAAAGAAATTGATGAACACCAAATATTTACTCATGAAGTTATTATTAAGAAAGCATTACATTTGTACATGAAAGTACCTACAATTTAAGTAACAGTTTCACACTCCTAAGGGATGTTTGTCTCTGATACGATTTAAGATTCAGGTATTTATAAGTTAACATTTTATCCAGTGTTTTAAATATTAAGGTAATTCTATAGTGTGATTAAAGCACCAGATATTTACATCTATGTTTTACGTACCAAGTTAAAACACCTAAAGACTATGCTAGTACAAGGTTTTTCGTATCTAAAGGCTATCTTAATACCACATTAACACATCTAAACTCTATCTTAATGCCACATTAACACATCTAAACTCTATCTTAATACCACATTAACACATATAAACTCTATCTTAATGCCACATTAACACATCTAAACTCTATCTTAATACCACATTAACACATATAAACTCTATCTTAATGCCACATTAACACATCTAA